CCACCATGCGAGTGCTTTCTGATGTCAGGCCCGAACTTTTGAAGGATGGACTGATCAATGTCTCACACAACTGCAAGTAATTCGCATTTTTTTCTTCTTGATTCTAGGGTCAGAATCAAGTTCATGGATTCATGGCTTGCAGCTTGCAGCAGGACGGTCCGGCCTGATGTGGCCTGCCTGCCTGCCTGCCTGCCACTAGACTCTAGAGAGACTTTGGATGTCGAGGACCCCGAGATAGCGGCCGGCACGAGCTGGATTCTGCGCCGCATACGACCTGTTAGCATGGGTTGCTGCCTTTCCTCCTATGTCCTGCAACAAATGTCATATGCTACTGTGCACATGTTCTTTCACGCAGAACGCTTTGGCTACGCTCTTCTGTTCGGCCGGCACGGAAGTGGTCGCGGTGGGTGTGCCAATCTAGTATCAGTGCATCCCATCCGGTCCGGTCTATGGCAAAGAATGGGTTCCTAGCCTTCGACTCCCTACTCCCGTCGACCACCAAGAAGAGACGGGAGGCCGACTGGCTTGCTGATGATTGATGGATACTATCCGCCAAATCTCCACCACCCCAGCACTCACTCCGCAGCTCAGTACTGTGTACACATAGGAGCATAGGACAACGCAGCATGGGGGCCAGTGGCCCTTCCGCTTGTTCGGCCCAGCCTGCGCACGTTCTGTCTGGTCAATTCATTCAACCCCAAGCCAAGCGATCTACAAGCTACGGGAAATATTCGCGCCTCTTTGCGAGGACGAACCCCGGGGCCGTTATCATCACGAAAACAGCATCCGCCCCGGCCAAGTCAGGCAAGGATCAGGAGCATCATGGAACGTCAACCCTGTCGGTCCGGTCATCGCAATGTGGCAGGTCAGACTGAAGAATGTGAGTGCAAAAGCGACGGCACTGCGTCTGTCACGGTCCTGGCTGCATCATCCATCAGATATCAGAATCTTCAGAGCGACAATGGCCCTCCATCAAGAGTCAGACTCTACATTGTATGTTTTCGAAAAGCAGCACTCAAGCAGCCCTGGCGTTACCCAGCCTGCCGTACGCCTATTCGTACACAGACGTATGCACCCTCAACCTCGCTTCCTGACCACCAACCGACAGGTGGGGGAAGGAACAAGGGATTCAGACGGACTGAAGAGTGACAAAGACGAGCAATATACGGATATCTCAAAGGATCAGTTGAGGAACCTGCAGGTCCGAGAGATAATGTCCTCGGTACCATTCGAGAGCCCCAGTACGCGGCAGAGGCAAGGTCAAGACACAGAAGCCGTAGCAGGCAGAGCCGGATTTAACTCTTGTCTGGCCTCGTACGCTCGTCCAAGTCTGGTCCGGTCTCTGCTTCATTATGGGCCAGAGAAGGGACGGGTATCCATAATAAGCAGCACGAATGCTTGTTCATCCGCTCAGTGAGACTCCACGCCGGCCGTCCGTTTGTCAGATGCGAAAAATGGAGACTCTACAACGGCCCAGGCCATGCCGGGGTTTTGTCAGTGCGTACATAGCAGATGGCGAGCCGATGGTTTTCTCACGCCTAGCGACTGGAGGCTGCTTTTCTCCAATTTTTCAGGATTTTACCCCTCCCGGGCATTGCAAGAGTCTGTCTGCGGCTAAGTTGCTCTGCCCATGAGGTTACTGTTTCCTACGGCCTACGGGATATTGCTAACACTGTCCCCAGACGCCAGGTTGCTGCTGATGAGCAGACCGGGTCGGTTATTTCGAATTCTATCCTCTTGTCTCCAAGGTACCTTGCCTACCTATCTCTTGCCATGATTTCCCCCCAGCTTTCTCAGGGCGTCGAACCATCTCATTACCGGGCCGCTGATTCGACCTCGCCTAAAGTTGTTCCGCCAGGCCCTGGTCATTACCCTCGGTCTGCTGCAACTTTTCAGGTCAGGAATCGAGGCCATTGACGGAAGGGCTCTGTTCCTGGTCCTTGTCGCCAGCAGCTCCTCCAGAAGCTCTCCACCTTTTGTCTCTGGATGTGCAGATGCCCGGTCGTACTCAAACGAATGATGGAATCTGCCCACCAAAACAGTGGATCTCCAAATCTCGCCGTGCTGCCATTTTCCACATCAACTAGCCGCTCAACCATGGAGAATGGAGTACGGCAACCAACCAAGGCAAGCAGACCCTCCCTAGTGCGCAGGGTATGGCGTTATTCGCGCGCTACACTAGACTCTTGCGGCTTGCCAGTCTTACTATACAGTAGCAGTACTACAGAGTACCCATTCCGAAAAGATAGAAGAATTAAAAAAAAAAAAATTCTAACCTCTCTTGTGAGTCTTGTCGCTTCTTGTCGCCTCTCACATTCCTCGTCCCCCTCTCGGTTTCTTCAAGCCATGCCCTCATACAGCCTCCACAGGCTGCCGTCGTTTCGCTCCCCTCCCCACCAGATCGCCTCCGCCCTGTGATTCGCGTTTCCCCAGTCGCCATTCATAGCGTGATGGGGCCAAGAAGAGGAGGGGAGGGGAAGAGGAGAGGGCAGGGACCAGCCAGTGGCTCAGTACCCTCAACTCCAGCCGCCTCTTACTACGTACTATTACCATGCCTATCGTGTTGTTTCGCTTCAAGGGTCGAGGTTCGAGAGTCCTCGAGGATTACGATGGCTCGTGTTCCTTGGTTGACTCCAGCAGTCGCCTCCATTCTTGAAACTACCTGACTGTGGTTGCAGGTCAGACAGACATCAACAAGGAAGTAAGACGAGGAGAGCGAGCAGGGCAGGGTAGGCAGGCAGGCAGGCAGGACATGATGCCAGATTATGGCCCCGATTCACGTTTCCCGTTTCTTGACACTTCTCCGTCGCATGCGCGCCGAAGGACGGCCGTTGAGGTGCGATGGGAAACGATGTAGTGCGAGGACATATCGCAGCACTACTCTTCGCAAGTGCTGATGCCAATCGGTGCGATGTGTCCATGGCAAGACGATTGCCTGCCCACTGCAGGCTATCTGGATGCTTGCTAAAGAAGCGTCGTCCCAACACGGTGCCACAAAAGCCAGCCTCTGGGCCCCATTTTGGACCTGTACCCACAAGGGCCCCAGCCCATACCTAGCAGGTCGTCAATCCAGCCAGTGTTGGAGACAAGAGGCCGTAACAGCAATAGCAGCAGCAGCAGGCGAAGACGTAGTTGCAGCAGTAGCGGCGGCGGCAGACGCAGCTGGGAGGCAAGCAGGGTGGTGGCAGCCCCAGATGGCAGAGGCAGAGAGAGAGAGGCACACACACAGACGCGCGCACTCACTCAGTGAGAGAGAGGAAGACGGGAGTGAGTGAGCGAGTGAGTGGGTGAGTGAGAGAGAGGAGGGGAAGGAAAAAGGTACTTGGGGTGCGGTTGTGGACTCTTCCGCTCCAAGTACGCCCAAGTACCTGCTTCGTACTCTGGGAACCCTGGCCATGTATGGACTGGGTGGGAGAAGAGATGGTCGATTTGCACGCCTCCTCTGCCTTTCTCTCTCTCTCTCTCTCTCACTCTCTCTGTTTTTTTTTTCCTTTCTGCAACTGGCACATCTGCACACGCCCTTCGCACCCCCATCCACCAACATGCTCACCCCTCCCCTTCTTCTTCGTCTCCCCAACCCCGATACAACCGCCGCGCACCCCTCCCCTCGTCTGCCCCTCGTCTCTGCCCCAATACCCTTACAGACGAACGTGATGCATGTCTATCTATGTGAGCGCGAGAGAGAGAGAGCCAGTGGTGAGTGTGGTGTAGCTAAGAAAACAGGCCGCGAGTAGGTGCCAGTCTAGACGAAGTACCTTCAAGACCCATCGTCTTGCCGTCTTGCACCACAATCTTAGACAAGTCCAGTCGACAAGTCCGTACATCCATAATCCATTACCACACATTAGACACATGCATCCATACTCCGTACATCTCGAGTACTTTTTTTGCCTTGTTTGGATGGAGCCACCATTACCGTCTCCATGCATGGGCGCATCTCTAAACTAAACAACCCATGCATGCCTGCCAACCCTCCACCACATCTGGCTACGTATATATCCTTGTCCCTCGCCCCAGGACGACCTACTCTCCTCGGACGACCTCATCACCACTTCTTCTCCCCCGGGTCATTGTTGTTTTTTAAAAGACCAATTGGTCCGCGCAATGGTTTGAGTTTCCATTGCCATCTTTCATCTCTGTATAATACTTTGTTTGACCCCTTCTCGAAATCCTCCCCCACTGCCACCGGCATCCCATACACGCGGCTTGGGTGTTGGTCATTCCGTCTTGCCCGTGTCATTCTTTGATACCACCTCCAACGACGGACACAGACAAAGCGCTCTGCTTGTCCGATCTACTACCTCGATCATTAGGGTCCTTCTAGACAGAAAGGCAGAAGAGACTTGAAGATAGAGCGAGAGCAGCACTTGGCTTCGGAAGTTGCACGACGACAACACATAGATCGAGCAAGAACTCATCATCCGGGACTCTCTCGACAGTCATCACCACACGCTACTCTAGACCCACGAGCGTGATACCTCGTAGGAAGCAGAGCAGATTGGGGATACCATCTAGATTTTTCGCATTCACATCACCTTGGGTACCAGTTTGAAACTGTTGGAAAGTTCTCAGGTTGCCTCACCTTCAGCAGAACACCTCACACCTCGGTCAGAAAACAAAATAGTGGACCATTTCATCTGAATACGCAGCAAACATATTCACCAAAGGGCAAATCAAAGAAGAAGTCACGGGACTTGTTCAAATTCACCAAGACGACATTCTGAGAAGGAAGGCACGCTCAAGGCCTGGACCTCCTGCCACCTCCTGACTATTCGAGAATTTCTCTGGACCAGAAGGCACAAAACCCAACTCCTTCTCCCACATCCTTCTTCTCATCCTCCTCGCCCTCCACAACCAACCAACAACCACGCGCGCAATCCCTCCCATTGCGGCTTTGTTGGGTTCCCTTTCCCATCTCTATCAAAAACCTCTTCACGACCTTCTCTGAATTACCTCAGAATCACGCACGCGCACTTCCCAACCGCAGGAAGCAATTCACGATGGCAGACATCATGAATCTCTTCTTGCCCAACCTTGGCTTCGGTTGGTCTCCTACCGCCTGGATGTACCTGTTCATCGCCCTTTGGTAAGTCACTACTTTCTGCGAAAAAAAACATGACCCTCCATTGCTACTGCTAGTAGCGCAGCAAACATCTGCCTTGCCTTTTTAATTTTCGACATCTTGTGTATCTAACCATCCTTGGCAGGCTGCATCGTTACACCCGCCTCCTTGTCAACTGCGTCAGCCACTGGGTCTACAAGTCCAAGCCGATTCCCGCCAACCCTACCTTCACAGCTGACGATGTTACCGTCATCATCCCCACCATTCACAATGTCTTCGAGGAGCTTCGCCCTTCTCTGCTCAGCATCATCGCCTGCAACCCTCGCGTTCTGATGCTCGTTACTACCAGCGAGAAGCATGCCTCTCTTGAGAAGCTTGCTCGCAGCCTTCCTCACCCTAATGTGCAGGTCTACTCTACCCCCATTGCCAACAAGCGTCTTCAGGTCTGCGAGGCTCTGCCCAAGGTGACTACCAAGCTCACCATCATGGCTGACGATGATGTCACCTGGCCTTCTACCATGATGCCCTGGATTCTTGCTCCCTTCGAAGACCCCAAGATTGGCGGTGTCGGCACTTGCCAGAGAGTTAAGCGCGTCTGGGATGGCCCGCTATCCACTCGCATCTTCAACTGGCTCGGCGCTGCCTACATTGAGAGACGCAACTTCGAGATCTCGGCCACCCACAACCTCGACGGCGGTACTTCCTGCATGTCTGGCCGAACTGGTGCCTACCGATCTGAGATTCTGTCCAGCCACGACTTTCTTGAGGGCTTCAAGACCGAGAAATGGGGCAAGTATATCCTGAACGCCGACGACGACAACTTTGTCACTCGCTGGCTCGTCAGCCACCAGTGGAAGACTTGGATCCAGTACGAGAAGGAGTGTGAGCTCGAGACCACTCTGGAGAACAGTACCAAGTTCCTCTACCAGTGCTCCCGCTGGGCTCGCAGCAATTGGCGTAGCAACTGGACCAGTCTTGTCCGCGAGAGATACGTTCTCACGTAAGTAGAAGCACACCCATCTGGGATTTCTCCTATTGCCTGGCATGATGTACTAACCCATAGCGACTACAGTCAGCAGCCCTGGTGCACTTATGCTCTCCATATTGCAACCTTCACTTCCTTGGCGTTCCTCTTCGACCCCCTCATCATCTTTGCTTTGTGGAAGGGTACTGCCGACTGGGACGCTGAGTACCGCCACCAGGCCCTCTGGGCTCAGATCATCTTCGTGTTCGGCTTCACCAAGGTCGTCAAGCTCGTGAACCTATTCCGTCGCAACCCTAGCGATATTCTCTTCCTGCCCGTCTCTATCCTCTTTGGATGGGCCCATGGAATCATCAAGCTTTACGCCTTGTCTACCCTCAAGATGGTAAGTAGCTACTTGAACCACATTATATGATACCGATTTTATTAACATCTTGGCAACAGACCTCCTGGGGCAGCAGAGCCGATGGTGATACCAACGATGACATCCGTCTGACTCCTCGTCCCAAGCGAGCCATGAGTCTGACCACGCCCCCTGGTGGCCAGGACCTCGTTCGCTACCGCTTCGAGCGCCAGATGACCGAGAAGGTCTCCGACTGGCACCGCCCTGCTAACGAGGCGCGCCGACCCCAGACCGTGCGCATGAACACCTTCCCCGCGAAGGATATCAAGGCGCCTCACGTCACCTTCTCCCTCCTGGAGCACCCCACGGACTAGATCCACGGCAGCCACGAATATCACGAATTATGAATTTGCAACACATTGGTTTGCCAGAGGAGAAACGGGACTCTGGCTTGGGTGGCTTTCTTATGTCTCCTTTCCTGGAAGGCGGAAACGAAGAGGGTTAATCATCCACCCTTTCTTCATTTTCCTTACGCCTCTTTTCCGGAAAACAAAAATCACCGACCCAAAAGGACTTTGGAACGGGAAAAGTTTTGTTGTTCTTTCCTCTTTACGATGAATACACGAACGATCGCATACGGGAAATGGGACCACAGCACAGAAGTGCGTGTCAAGAGTATAATCATCAACGGCATGGAAACCATTCGGCATGGAGAGCAGGAATAGGTGGTTTGGTCATCTGCTTCAGGGAGACAGTTTTTCCTCCCTGGATTTTCTCGACTATTGGTCTCTTTTTTCATTTTCCTTATCAAAAACCCCCCCAAAAATGGCGAGGGTAAAGGGTTGGTCTTTGTGATTTCTTTTCTTCCTTCTCCTCCATTTCAGAAACGAAAGAGAGGTAGTCGGAAGAGGTACATCGCGCGGCGGGCAACAGGGCAGGCAGCTTTGATCTTCGTCGGAGGCATTTTATTCGATGCATTGCGAGACATGGGAAATCAGGAAGACACACAGAGAGAGAGGGCGGCAAGGCATTAGACTGTTGGTCTCTACCATTATCCCATCTTCTTTTCCACTCAGACCAAGAGACAGCTTTCCATAGACTGAAGAAAAGAAAGCAAATTTCCACAATAAACCAAGGCGCCCCCCAAGGAAAGAAGAACCGAGGCTCGTGAGGTCTACTCCACTAACTATCAGTAGTTTGTGATGCGATGTGTGATGTCGGGCAGCTGCATATCTTTCTTCAACACAATTTATAAAAAGAAAGGTTTCCCGAGCCAATGGGAATACAACGTCCCTGCATCCTGACGAACTGGGGGATCGACTAGTTGGATCGGGGGGGGACTCGCCAGGAAGAAGAAACGAGCAGCAAGCACAGCATGTGTGCCAGGGGGGAGGGGAGGGAAGGGAAGGTTGGTGGCATTCGTTACACAGCATGGTAATTTGACGCGCAGTCTCGTATCCCGCCATGGTGTTGGCCCCCAATAAACGGTTTCCGGGAAACCCGCGATATCTGACATGCGATATTGTACGTGTGTGTACGTGTGTGTGGCTTCTCATCAGTACGAACCCCACGATATGACCCCCGGTTACACGGCAGGGCCAAGGTATGCGAATGCCTACCTTGTTCACTAATTCTCCGGCCGGAAAGGCCTGACCTGGCCTCAAGGGACTCTTTCAGTTCCTTCCGGAAATCGAATACTCAATGTAGGTGAGAGGCTGTGCCATGTTCATGCGCCTCGTTACCACGGTAGAGTGGTGTGTGATATTGTCTTACATGACGTCCTTGGTGAGGCTGGTGGGTGTGGAGATTTTGGAGGGGTGGTTAAAAGCCCAGACGAGCACGCGGCTCTGATTTGGCCGTCGTTTGCCGCGATGCTCGCCCGAAGACGACGAGCTGAGGAGTGAGTACGGTTCCCGGTCGATTGTTGTGACTCTTTGTGGCAGTGGTGGTGTTGTCCTGCTCATCTCAAGTTTTGAACATCGTCCATGTGCCTTCCGGTGGCATTTGGCTGCTTCGTCAGATGCGCCTCTCTTGACTCACATCGGGCTGGCTGGGACGACTAGCCTCGTGAGACAGAGTACGTGCGACTAGTTTTCGGTGGTTGTCGTGGTGGTTGCCTTGAAAGAATGAGATCTCACACCCACCATCATCAGTCGAACCCTACACCCCTCCATCCCTACTAGTTCATTGAACGGTTCGAGACTTGGCTAGATTAGGATGGCTAGTAGGCCAAGCTAAGATAATCGAGCACCCCACACTCAACGGGGGCAACGAGGCAGGTGATGTTCTGAGGGCACGTAAAAACCCCGCAGGGCCAAAGTTTCCGGATCGAAGATGTCCGGACATTCGGAGGCAAGAGGTTGGACTGCCCATCTATCGATCACTGGTTACCGAGAAAAACCAAGACTGGCTGCTGCCAGCCACTACTCCAAGCAGGAGTTCGAGCTTTGAGATGTGGCAGATTGGTGGATGGATAGATGGGTGAGATCGAACGCTAAACCACCCAATCAGGGAGCACAAGCTCGAAATGTAAGGTCAAGAGCTGCGATTGACAGCCTTTTCGATGGGTTGGGGGTCTTCGTCTGTGTCCTTGTTTACGTTATCAAGCAGTCCACCGTGTGCTCCGATGCTTGACACGAGGCCTGCCAGGCTGCCCCTCCCCCTCCCTTACTCTCGGACCCCTGGCCTTGTCTTTGCTGCAGGTGGACGAAAAGAGGCTTGCTGATGACATAGGTAAGACAGCGTCCAAATCTCAAAATGTTTCGTAGTGGATGGGATTAATGGGGAACGTTGTTCTCGACTCCTCTTCTACGGGTCGTGAAGTAGTATATGCTAGACATCCGTACGCCGGGACCGGGACGGGGGCGAGGAGACGCAGACGCAGAGATGCACGACATGATACGCGTGTTTTGAGGCTTTTGAACCTGCACCAGGTCGGAATAGGGAGACGAGAGGGATGCTGTGGGGAGAATAAGGAGAGGACTCACCAAATTCATGTTCAGATCTGACTGTGTTCAGTACCTAGAGTTACCACACGACGTCAACTTGTTACAGATGTACAAAATCTTGTGGGTCGAGCTAGTAGGCTGGAGATGAGTGCGAGAGGTACCCTGGACTTGGATAGTGTCTATCGATGCATCGTTGTTATAGCTTTGTGAATCGTGCGAGTAGCAGCGATAGCCGGCTTGCAAGAGTTGTGTTGAGAGACATGCATGAATCCTGACGATAAATTGGTTCTAGGCCTCGCGTGCAACTGGAGAGGGGGTTGCGATTGTATGCAACGTCTGCAACGCCTTGATTCATGCCGGAATTCGTCAGTGGTAAATCCGTCATCCAGAGTGAGTTGTGACAACATGCGACATAGGACCAATGGGAGCTCAGAATTGGGTCTGCTGAATGACTTATGCTTTGAAGGAAGAAAATTCTTGAAAAAAATATTTCAACACTGGCGACTCTTGTTGGTCCATCGAGGATTCTTCTCCAATTCATGGTGCCACACTCTCCAGCGTGAGGTAATGGGGAGCGAGCCAATGCGACGGCATGAGTCAAGACGCATTGGGGATGACGGCGACCAAGAGTCCGTAGGAACATCAGCGGGAATACGGCAAGTAAGGCACGAAGTCGTGCACGAATAGGTACGCGAAATCGGATAGGTAAGAGAAGGCGATTTTGGTTTGATCTGTCAAATGTGTCAAAAGTGGCGGCCGTGGGTTGCCAATCGACGACGGAGCAAGACCGGGCGAACAAGCTTGGGTTGGCCACTGACAAGCGCCGACAGCGCGAGGGAAAAACAAAGGCCTAGATTTGATGGAGACGGATTTGTGGTTCTTGGAGCTGAGACCGAGGACGAGGATGATGATGATAAGACGGCCTTGCTAGCTTGGTGGCTCTACTTGATTAGTACAGGTATTTTCATGGTGCAGCGGCAGAAAGAGGAAATAGAGGTGCAATGATAAGCTGGCGGAGCATGCTCACTTAGTAGGTACTGTAGCACTGTAGCAAGCAAGCAAGCATGCATGGCATGGCAGGGCATGGAAGGGCGATTACTGCGTACACTACTCCGTACGCCGCAGAGGGCGGCGACATTCGAGAGTCGAGCTTGGATGGAACCACACCTCAGGTGCGCACGGCCTTTGATCTTTCACGGCCTGCACTGGCGTTAGGTTGTGTTATGATTGCCATTTGTCGTCGGTTTCGTCGTCGACGTCGAGGATAATGATGATGTGGTTGCGAGGGACGCTTATCGGCTTGACGCGGCTGGACGTAAGTGCTGGCTGGGGATCGTGACATAAATGGCAAAGTGGGTGGTGGATGGTGGATGGTTCTGTGTGGATTTCAACATGGGAGAATCCAAGCATCCAAGATGCCCGAGACGATCGAGGCCCTCGGACTGTAGTGTGGCCAGAGCAGCAACAAGCTGACGGGTGGTTCCTGCCAAAAAGACAACCGCCGAACGGTACGGGCGTTGAGGTACTTCGTACCTTCCAAGTTACTCGAAGTGTCCCTGCCTTATCCGTAAGGTCAGGTCCTCTAGACAGGCTCCTACCTAGAGCAAAAGGAAATGGTACGTATCTGTACACAAGAGTTACGGGCCTCCCATTCTCCGAGAGAAACGGGCACTGGACGGGACCTGCTGAATTTGGCTCCCGATGAAGAACAGCCGCCAAGCTTTAGTAAGCGAACTGGTATTTCTGTGCCTCAGGCCAAAGAAGGAGACAGAGCAGCCGCAGAGCCCAGCAATTGAGAGACCAAGGGTTTCAACAACAATTCAAGACTACTTGTGCGGGTGATGACGACCCTGCACTCCATTTCTGGAGAGAAAAAAAATAGGGAAGGCAAGGCAGGAAAAGGCAAAGGTGACTGTAGTAGGAGGGGCAGGGACTGTGGAGGAGATGGACAACATTGAATAATCAAGGCTTAGTTAAGCCAGGAGCAGGGAAATGGGAGGGAACTAACGAAACAAAAAAGATACCTGCGGGTTCCTAGACGCACAGGCGGCCGCGGTACCTTCACAGATCGGGCAAGTATCTTTTTTGTCCCAGTCTTGGCGCTCGTCTGTTCTGACCCTCAACCAACGAACGGCAACGGACCCCAGCGGCTAAGGTAAGGCAGGGCCACAATGTATCGACGGATAGATTTCATCTCAAAGACAAAATAACCACAGACATTTTGCATTGTCTCGCACAGACAGAAACAGAGAGAGACAGAGAGAGAGGGAAAGAGAGCCCGGGTGGGGAGACGGACACGCAACCGCAACTGCAGTCACAACCGCAGCCGCTGTTGGTGGTGCAGGTGCAAGTTGCCATTTGCCAGTTGCAGCTCCAAGATGGCAATATCTGCAAAATGCAAATCGTCAGGCCCTTTGGCCAAGTCGAAACGCGCAATCCCCTCTCCACCGGCAATCACATCTCAGCTTTTTCTTCTTCCCCTCGTTCTCGCCGACATAACTTGGACCTCGCATCATCACATCATGTCATCTTGTGCGGCGCGCCTACATACCTACCTTATCCTCTTTGTAGCTACTTGCCCGCTGCGGCGCTGCAACTGCAAAACCAGTCCCTTTCTCTCTTCCCCTCCTCTCGCCCTCCCCTCTCTCCACTTTCATTGTGCATATCCCCGTTTGGGTCAGCGACTCGGACCAGGACTGAAGCCAAGACGACATGGGCTTTCCTCAATGTGACCCTCCCCTACGAGCCAGTGCGCTTATCCGCTTCTCGTCGGACCTGCGTCTGCACCACCCATGCGAGCCAGGGTTGCCAGGGTCATCGCTTCTTTTTCTTTTTGTCAAAGAACAGAAGGGGGGGTGGACAAACTGGCCAATCAGCGAAGCCATGACATTTTCAATCCTCATCGTCTGTCTCTTTCACTCTCTCGCTCTCAAAAGTAACATCAATCTATCTACACCATGTTCCGCTCCTGCTGTACTGTGTGAACACACCACTTATCCTTGCCGGGGACTACGATATACCACAAGGCTACGGATAGACACGTCGGTTTCCGCAACTAGGACCAAGCATCAGTGCACATCACGGCCATCCTCCGCCGCCGCTAACTCGGTCTTTGAACCTTTCAAGCATCCAGAGGAACCATCACTCTCGCCGCTCCCACGCTAAATTCCTCTTAGCAGAAGGGAGGCTCTGCTCCGTTCGAGCCCACGGGATTTGGACCGCCCGTCGCAATATACCTACCTTACGATATGGCAAACTCGAAAAAGTACACGATACTACATAATTGAGCTGCGGCAGACTCGAGCAAGGGTGAGCAGCAAAGCTCTGCATTTACGACGTTACCATGTTACTGGCCCTGGCTGGTCGGTCGTCAAAGCCTAAAACAGAAATGTCGCCAACTCAACCAACGATCCCGACTGAGCACACCTTGCCTCACCTCATCTCACCTTGACAGTATCTCTGTGCCTCAATACCACTCGAAGCTGTTCCGCATCAGGAAGCCACATTCCGAAAGTCACCTCTCCAGGGGCGCCACTATTACCTGAGCATGAATCGCCATTGTCATACGGGTCATGAGCTTCAAGTTCATCGCAGTGCCGCAGTCAGCACGGATACGGATTATGCGAACGGGGTACGGATCCGTACGGGCATCTTGGGGACAAAAAAACCCTAGCCCTGACCCTCGTCACGATCCTCCGCGCTCCCAGAGTATAGAGGCTGATCATGGCCGAAGCTCGGCGGAGTCGATCTAGCCAAGTGGGTCAGCGTCGTCTTCGCGCCGCCCGTCTATCCCGTCTTGCCGACACGTAGACGGAGACTTTCGGATACTATAACAAAGTACGGGCGTGCTTATAAGTGCCCAACAAGTCATCATTTCTGAGAAACTATAGGCTCTCTTGCTACAGATACACTCCATGCGGCCAGGACATCGAATGACACGGGAATAAGGACGGCATCGTTGAGAAAGGATTTGTGCCCCGTCTTCGTTGCTAGGCCCCGTCCTGTGACACTGGATCTGCGGCTGCGCAACCATGGTTGACATCAACATGCATCGCAATCGTTCATGCTCGCAGCCCGAGATCCGCCGGGGAAGCACCTCGTGCGATCCAGGCCGCGTCTCGCGCCTGTAGTGCACAGCACTATACCACACCTGCCTGTCAGCAATCTGCTCTCCGCAAACTTTGTCCGTCGCAAGCCCGGATGGACAGGCTCACGATCTTCCCGCCCTCGCGTCGATTTGAGAGGCCTGGTTCGGAGGAGGGGGTGGATGGAGGCTTGCTGGTGGGTTTCGTTGACTTTCGACTCCGTGCCTAGTCAACCCCGCAAGATAGCATCATTCCATCACGACATCGACCGGGCCAGCTCTTCTTCAGCGACCAGGGGGGGTTCCTACACTAGGACAGAACCCATGTAATCGTCCAGTGTCCACCGCGGACTTATGGAGAACATAAGCCACGTCAACCAAGAACATTAGAGAATTGGCAGAGCTCCGTCTCGAAAATATCCCGGCCCAGGAGGGGGAACCCACTCGCGCTTCTTGGTTCGATGTAACCTCAGCGCCCACTATCATGCAGGTTCAAGAGGCTCGGAACCAACAATGGCAGAGGCAATCCGACCATCAAGAGGTCATCAGCAATCCCTCGATCCACACAAGCGATCTTCGGTCTTTGCGAGCCGTTGAAGAATTTCATGTCGCCGCAAGGGTCCTGTGCCAGTTGCACGATGCCATATCAAATTACAGTGGCGAGATCGTCCGATCTTGTCCAATGAGCTTTACTACTGCTGCTAGGTCTGTCCGGGCAACAGAGAGCGCAATGCGACAACGAGTCTTCGCACAAAACGCAAAAGTGATGAGCCTCCTCATTGGGAAAAGCGATATCACGTACAAAAGAAGTCAAAGCCGAAAGAAGTGCGCCAAGCGGCGCTGCTGGTGGACGTCTTGGCCCGTTGGTTCAGCCTATTCGAGCATCTTGGCCACTAGCTGCAGAAAAAGGCGCCATGGATATCCACACGCTATATTCATACGCTCACGATGAAGAAGAGGAGGACCCGTTGACGGAGGGCATGCCCAGGACCGATGCCACCAATGAACAGGCCTACGAGACCAGCCTCTTCGAGGTACAAGCGCGGTACTGGGCATGTACTCTACCTGGTCTATTCCAGGGAATGCCCCAGAAATCACCAGGCAGTGTCGATAGATTCGACACCAAGATTCCTGCATCCCTCGAGCGTGCGACAGCTTGAAGCCGATCCCCACCAGTTAATCGGCTACAAGCTACTGCTGCTTCGGTGCAGAAATTGTTGAGTTGGTCATCAATTTACTAACCTTATCAAAATCAGCAAATGGCAAGAAATCAGAGACAGCAATCGACACAGTCTGGCCCTGGAAGCTGAATATTGCATTTCATTCCACTGCTAGAAGCATGCCGTCACCTTTGCTTTCCGGCCCCCACGCAAAACCACACCAATTGAGTTGGTTCACGGTTATTTCCCTCTCGACGGGAGCCTCAATACAAGAGACTGGTCATGAACCGGAGACCCATGCCGAACCCGCACACCCATTCTACAACCATATCCACAATTGATATTTCATTGTAACATCTGCTGGCAAATGGGGGCCGAATGGTTTTGAGCCCGTTTCGCCAGCGACTCAATCTACAACTCCAGATAGTGCTTGAGCATAACGGACAGTGTTATCGCAAGAACTAGAATGATTGTCATAATTGTAGCCATTGTCGCCATGTTCTCAACGCGGTCCGAGCGAGCCATAATCCCGACCGGTGCAGGTTTTCCATCGCGGCTGCGGCGTCCGCCGCTTATTTTTATTTCTTTTACCATGAGGGGTTAGCTGAAGCCAAACAAATGGGTCATGAACAGGAACTCTGTCAATTTTGCACTGCCAGGGAACGGGGATGGGGATTATTGAAACAAACACACCCTGGAGGGGCCACACGACTGGCGTTAAGGACCGGCCGAGGCCTGGCCGAGCTGGGCGGAATCGACGTCGTTATGCTGAAGAATCGACCAAAACGAAGAACAGGCTGTCCGACTGACAGGACCCTGCGAGTGCGTCCGAGTGGATGGAGCCACGCCCCAGCGTCTCAACAAGCCCCCAAGCTCTCGGCGTGAACCTATCATCCGATGAGAACGCGCGCGTATCACACAGACACACACAACCCCTCCCCCACCACCTCCGAGGGAGTGGAGTGCTGAGGTTGGTGGTTGTCGAACCTCGAATGATGGGGTCTCTCTTGCTTTGCTGCTGTCTCCAGACAACGAAGAAGAGGGTGCGTGGCTGTACGTTGGGAGCTTGGAAACAGAAGCCAGATTGTCAAGCAAGGCCTGGGCGTACATGATGCAGGATTTCTTGCATTAAAGGCTCTAGGGACCTCCGAGTGTCCACCCGCTGCGGGACAATAGCCAAACTTGGTGAGATGGATGGCCTGACAGTGTGGAGAGCAATAACGGAGGCGCATGTGCCTCTGCTCTCGTACCCGTTGGCAGGAAAGTCAAGGCAACGAGCGAAGTTTCGCGGAATATCGTGAGCTCGATACAGTTCTTGGCGAACATCTCAAACAAGAGCCGAGATAAGGCGACAAGAGACCGTGTCTCGTGGCTCGTATTTGGAGTCACATGCTGACGGTCTCACGACCTGATATGACCATCGTGGACGACACAATGGACAGGCTCAACACCATTTTACTTGCGACCATTGGTCGCCACGGAGCAGAGAACAGCGCAGAAACTGGAATGCCGGTAGATACGCGATGCAACAATGGGCCCACGATCTGGCCGCCGCATTAAATAGGTACTGCTACATGACGAAACGCCTTTGATGGGAGAAGAAGCCTATCTTTCTCAGGACACTCGCTGGCCACGGTGTTGCCTATTCGGTACGTTGGTCGAGGCGGCAGACAGATGTAAAATGGGACACCTTCGTTTTCCAACGGTGCCATGGGGGCTAAGGCGATGTGGCATATGCATGTCTTCGATGAGGCAGCCGCGCTTGTGTAGGCGATGCGACCGAAGCGACTGAAGGAAGACACACAGGCATTTGGCCAGATTTATCCAGCATCAAGAGCATTCTGACATGTGCGTTGGTTACATGGGACTGAGAGGGAGAGAGATAGAGTTTTCGCGATGGACGAATTGGGAATCGAGGCCGAGTGCGATTGGGAAGTTGGATGGCGGTTGCAACGGGGGTCCTCATCCCCCGCGGGGAAGCGATCTGGCTGGTGGTGATGGGGCTGGAACGTGGGGAACGATCGTCTTCTGGTGAGTGTCTGTGGGATTTGAGCCGCTGTCGATCTCTCACATGCTTTCTTTTTCTGATCTTTTTTTTCTTCTTTTTTCACCCTTTTTCTCTTTTTGGCCTTCTTCACTATCCCGAGGAAATCGGCAAGGCGTTCTCGCATGATTTACATTTCCACCTGCCCGCCGAATTTCCTTCCCAAAGCCGAACTGAGTTGCTTTTGAAGAAGCAGGCCAAGGCGGCCAAGTGGAGATTTTTAAGTCGAGGACCACGCGAGCTCGAGTGAGTCCAGGCGTATAGCGTGCCAATCAATGGCTTTGAAGCGGTTTTCCCCTTCAACTATTTGGCTTCGTGGCTGCCTTCGGGCTGCAGAAGGCCCGAGATTATGGATCAATCGCTTCGTCGCTGCTTCCGTCCTTGTGTGCCAAAAGCTGGGACCGGGTCGGAAAAGATGGCTGCATTGCTGCGGTTGAAAAAGTCGGAAGAGGAAGAAGAAAAATGTCTCAAGGAGACTAGACATACGGCGCGGGGATACTAAGAGGTTTAAAGCATGTGAAGCTTTCGGGGGAACACTGTAGCGAGGCCTCCTCAGTTCAACAGAAAAGTAAGGTAAGGTCAAGGTTATTCAACGGGCCGCCACTCCTTTTGACTTACCTGAGCTCGGCATTAGCGTCGTCGCTGGACCTTTGGCTCTGCGGGTGCAGGTTTCGGTGGCTTTTTTTGTCTTTTCAGCTTTTCTTTTTTTAATCACACCGTTCCTTGGGGTCTTTTGGAGAGCTCTCCTTCCTTCTGGGTTCTTTTGGCGTCATTACCGCCGTTTTGACCTGTGGCATGGCCAGCGAGTATGCGTGGGCCCTGCAGACTATCAGCATCACCACATGCCTCGACCCAGCCACAAACGATGTTATTGGGGAATGTGGTAGGTATGGATGAGGGGGATGAACCAAGTGACCCTGCGCCCTTGCCTGCCGCATACCAGGGCCCGCATCGTTGGATGATTTTGACGCCTGACGCTTTGCTTTTCTGCTGAGGGGGGTTGGGATGTGCCTGGGTTTGGAGATCGGATGTGTAAGGTTTTGGAGGGGCAAACGCGAGAGATATCGGCAGATCCAGCCAGTTGAGTGCGGTCGAGGAACACCGGTCTGGATTAGTGTTTGTAGGTACCCTCTCCGAGACGACGGGCCGTTGGGGGCTTGGCTTTTGATGATGAACTTTGGGAGTAGGTAAGAGCGAAAGGTTTAATGTTCTTGGATGGGTGAGAGGCAGGACCCGGCAAGTCGATGGTCATGGTGATGAGGTTGTTGATAGGTTTGGTACTCATTGGATAGAAGGAATGCCTTGTATGACATTCACCTTATGGTAGGCGCCAGACTTCTGCGTGACTTGACTTTTGAGATCGTGGTGTTCGGCATGAGTTCCGGTTTCTTGGTTATCAGGAATCTCAAGTCAGTAACCTGTAAGCTGTAAAGATATAGGAGATATAGTCTTCTTCAGTAGCCTCGAGGTGATTATTTCTAGCGGGAGAGTTCGTAGGACTCATCAACATTCTGATACAGGAGACGTGATCCATTTTGGCAATGTTTAAAGTGGTTGGGAAGATGTCCTGACACTTGCAGGGATGTTCACAGTTTCTCAGTTTAAGTACGTGGCAACCGATGCAGTCACACGAAGACATGGAGGTAAGGTATGTAGGAGTGCGATTGCTACCTAAACATCATACGGCAGGCCCTTTTCGTCTCATCTACACAAAGTCAACTTTCTTCCGTGCAGCCTTTTTGCCCGACAACTGTTGTCGAGAATGGTCTGCCGCCGCGTTCCGAGATCCCTCTCCTGAAATTCATGTTTGAGACTGGAACGTATATACCAGCAGCTTCATCGCCGTCCGTGCTGTCGTTGGCGGGTAGACGAGTACGTAGATGCTGAGTACCAGCCGATGGAGGCTGGCATTGGGGCTTGATCCCGGGTATTTCCTAGTGATGGTGGACAGTCCCCTTCTTGCTGGATGGATTTGCGATTTTGACTGAGGTAGTAGGGTCGGTGGAAGCAGGTGCCTTGCGCGTTTGGTTTTCTGTGTGTGGTACTTGATATCTCGGGATCTTGAAGGGCATCGATTCCGCATATTTAAGTGCTTTCCCGGGAAGAGCCTTACAGCGGATGGCTGGTGGGACGCTGAATGTTGTTGATGTCTTCGGCACTGCACTTATGAGATCCGAACTGTTGTTATTCTTGTGTCTCGTTTGGTATCGAGCCATTCACGCAGGGTCGGTGACTCAAGAAGGAGGAGGTTCTTGGGAGACTTATTAGAGAGGGGCGTAGGTAGAGAACCTTTCAAACGAGAAAGAGGGGACAAGTTGGGGGCTGTATATCTGCTGAAAGGGTGCCGATTGAAAAGTGTCGAGATTGTTACACGAGATATGTGCGTATATCGCGGAGAGCATGAGGAGGGGCGGTGGAATGGCATAAGTGTTTTGTCGTCCTAGCTGAGTATTTGACCCTCTTCTGAAAAGGAGCATTCTGAACTGTCAGCTTCCATGAGGGTTTAGACTCTCAGAGACTGTATTGTCTACAGTCCTTGGGAAACCTGAATTTTCGGTCTGCGAAGAACTGAGGTTTAAGCCAGAGAGTGGTGAGAGATGTGGCTCTCGAACCGTCTATTTCGAGCGGCCTCAACTTGTTCGTCCACTAGCCTATGGCATGGACTTAGCATGTGTCCTCTTCCTCTGACTGGATTGGAATCATGGGTCTGGCGATCCAAGATACCACGGCGCTGTCGCCGACGTCTCTTATGTTGAGTCTTGTCTGAGTTCTTGGTTAACCACTGGTTATCGCCGGTTGTTAGACATGATTCTGACTGTGCTCCTTTTCTGCAAAGTATTGCCCAATTGACTTACCCTTACATGGCATGTGTACCAAAATATTTCCCGCTTTTAGGCTCTGGGACGTTATCAGCCACATGAGGCTTCTCTCTCGCGATATCAACCTGATTCCCTCCTTGTCAGGAGTCAGATGAGAAAGCGCGAAATAATTGTTAAGACCCAGTGAAGCTACGTGAATGGACTGACTAGGTCACATTAACGAGGCGTAATCTACTGAAACTGGTCTCTAGAGTAGGGTAGATGTGGTTAATTACTGTGAGGCATGATCTACTTTGATGCCAGAGAAAGCGGAGCTCGGCAGTGGAAATACCTTGAGAACAGTGTCTGAGAATAACTGTGAGGATCGTGTGTTCTTCGTATTCTCAAGGTCAGGACGGCGGTCCCATCTATCAAGCTATTCCGGCATTTTTCTTTTGAGAATCAAGTTAAATGGGCGGAACTTTCCTTGCGATGATGTCAAACTCGGTCGTCTGTTTTGGGAAGATGGCGCTGATTTCTACTATTGGAAATCGAATTTGCTCCATCTCCTGCGTCTGCGAAATGGTTTTCTCTTCCATCATTCGATTGCATGTGCGACGCCAGTTTCCAAGCGGTTATAGTGAAACTTGTAATGCTGCTGGAACAGCCCACAAGAGATCACATGGTCTTGCCCGTCGTATGCGGGTGAGATGAGACCAAGAGCTCATCTATCTTACAGTCAAATCAGCAAGCAATTTTGATCGAGGGTCATTCGACACATTAATCGGACTATTGATCTTGCTCGATCGTGGTAGCCTACAATTCGTAAGTCTTGGGTGTATATCTACTACCGTTCCCACGACTAGCTTCCCCGTTGTCCACAAGATGACAAATGAAAGCATCATGCTCTACAAAAGCTCTTGGGGAGTTGCTTCCGGGCTGAACGATACATGAACGGTGTTCAAAGCACAATAAACAGGAAGAGGCTCCTGCTGTGCCAATGTTTGTATGACTACAAGTTTCAATTGTAATGGGCAAGGAGTAGACGACTAAATTGTGATATTACAATGAGCATAAAAGCTCTGCTGAAGTTCTTATTCTTGGACCTTCAACTTGAGAGAAGTACCCGTTGCGCACCAAGTCGAAAGTCCTCATTTCTTCATTTAAGCCGGTGGAAGAGGGTCTCCAAGCCGGTTCCGGGCACGGAGGTGGGAGTGGCCAAACCCGGAACCGGTCCCCATCTGTCCGTCCCCGCTGTCCGCCCCATCCCTTTCTGCCGTTCACATCGACCCCGCAACGGCACTGGTACCGAGTAACCGAAAACGCGGCCCGGAACCCACCAGCGGAACTTCCGAAACCTCTCTTGCCCCGCCGTTCCTCCGAAAGAAAAACTTACCATATCCGGACATCGTCAGTGGTGGCTCATCGGACACGTGAGTACAACTGTTCTTGCCACTTTGGTAAAGTTTTGCAACCACGAGGTGGCCCAGACAGCCAGAGACAAGACAGAGAAACAAAAGGACCCCGAGGAGGATCTAAGGAAAAAAAAACAAGGATTTGGGGGGGGGGGGGGGGGGAAGGGGGAGAAAAAAAAAACAATTGCTAGAAGGGGGAAAAAAAAAAGGGGTCCCTTAAGACACCCAGCGCCAGAAACGGAGAAAAAGAGAAAACACAAGCAGGACGAGGAGAAGAAAAAAAAAAAAAAAGGAGGGGGGGGGGGGGGGGGGGGGGGGAGAAGAGGATGGAGAACGAAAACATTGTCTGATATGCTGAAAACAGACAGGATGCCTTCAGCATACCACGTCATCGAAAGGCCCGAATAGTGAGATACGCACACATCCACGCACCCACATACACACGCACACTTGCCGAGAGGTCGGACGGTTACACAAGGCCCGAGTGGGGGAGTTCTCGGGTGACGAGAAGCCAGTGATGGAGAGTAGTTATAAGCGCACAAGAAAAGAAGGGTGGCTGCTACCCTTCTGCTTCGGTATTTCTCCGTGTGGTGGAAAGACTTTTTTTTTCTTGGGAGTAAAAAAAGCCTTGCCGCCTTTGTCCTACCAACATACTTCTGCACACAGGATATCTGGGGACCCATGGGAGAGGAGAGGGCTTGCCGCTTGAGTTTTGAGGCTTGAGGCGTAAGGCTTGGGGGGGGATTCGGAGGCAACAACTGCCGTAGCCTCCCATTTCGTGGCCATGCTACCGTGGTTTATCCCAAAGCTTTGCCTGCCGGGCACCACCCGGGCTGAAAGCCCGCAAGGTCAAGAAAGTTGAGGCATGTTGATGTCACTCTGTCACTGAACCCGAGGATTCTCCGTCTGACAGCTTTTTCCCATCCCGTCAAAGGTGACGATTGTACCGGTAGTGGACGGGATAGACAACAACTAACCGGACATTTTGATGAACCAAGCTTGCCAAGGTCCCGAAAAGAGAGAACGAGATTACGCCGCGCGATCTGAGTCCAAGATCGACACCACGCTCCAAGGAAAACTTTGGCAAGAGTAGCCGGCCTCAGCGCTTGGTTTGGATGGGTATGCGCGTACCCACGGGTGGAAGGGGGAGGGGGAGTGTGTGTAGAAGCAAAACAAGAAACCCTAGGAAATATCAAAGACTGAGATTTTCTTCAGAGTGATCGAAAAAGATCGGAGACAACTGACGAGAACAAAAAAAAATACCGACAGGGTTATTGCGATACTAACAAACACGAGGTGGAGGATGGGGCGGCGAAGACATGAAAACGTCGTCCTTCTCGGCCGGTACCAAACTCGTTGTCAACGTCGGTCTCGGCAACCCCCACCACCCTCACGAAGCAGACTCCAGCCGACAAGGGTTGATCACCACCATAAAATCCCTTTCGCAGCGATGTCCAGGAGCGTCATGCGTATAGCCGTCAAAGAGACGGAGATGCGGGAAGATTTTCAACAAGTTCCTTCCGTGCTGCCCCCCTTCGTGGGCGTTCTCCATCGTATGTTGAGGTGGGTTCCACACCGAACCCCAACCCCACGTTTGCGGACGTAAAGATGCTTTGCCCTAAACAAGGTAACTCTTCCCTTTTGCCCGTCTCGGCGGGACGCGGAATGAAGAGCGGATAGGGCGGTCGTTGACAAAGTTGTGGCTGTTCTGTCAAACTCGTGGGCTGGGGAGATTGAGTTTTTTTTTGTCAGGAATGCAATCAGTTTCTTTCGAGGCGCGCGGCTCACGAGGTATGCAGCGCGCAGACAGAATCTTCGTAATCACTTAGGTTGGAAAACACGAATTGTAATATGTCATTAATAATCATGGACAATAAATCTGTTCTCTCTGTATTGTAAAGGGAAATCATTAAACTACATAAGTCATGACGAGGGCAAAGAGCTAAAGTTGTATAGCGAACAAGATGTCCTCCGAGAGCAGAGGACAAAGGAGTGTTGAAGAACAGAAGAACAACAAGGCAAACGGCCCGCAGCGATCGCTAACCCCCCCAATAAAGCGTGTGATCATGGAATGAGCAAGGCATACAGAGTGCCGCATTCGTCGACAAAAGGCGTCCAAGTGGGAGAGAAGAAAGAAATAAGAGTCATAAGTCGTTAAACAAGCACGAGGCCAAGACGTGGGCGTTAAACCTTTCCTGCAAGGTAGAGGATGTTCTCTTTGACTGCATCCGTCAAGTCCCCTTGTCCCGTGTAGACATAGGTGACTGTTTGGGACCACACTTCGGGATACGGTAATGGCAACTCGACAACGTCACCAGCCTGGACTGTACCAGAGACGATGATAGCCGCCAACACCGGGAGTGAGGACCTGGCGTATTGGAGATCTGTGGGTGGGTTGGGTGTTAGCCTTGATTTCCCTGCCTTGTATTCGGGTAGGAGTGAGCCGGCCTTGGAGGCTATTGCCGAAAAGGTTCAAGTCCGCAAACGTCAGAGGGGATAAACTTAGGCAAGACATGACTTACGGATTGGTATAGTGTCGGCGCCACGCGATGAAGCCGCGCGGGGATCTCCAGATTTTAGCCCGCGGCTGTAAGGGAGCGTGCTGTGGATTGCACTGCTCGACCGTCTTCGTGCCGCGCTCGGTCGAGGAGATGAGACCTTTGGCAGCGGTGAAGTGGCCTGAGTATGCAGAGATGGCCGCCGTCTTTGATCCGCGGGAACAGGACTTGGCAACGGGTCCGCGATGGTGGAGCGTAACTGCTCAATGTCGAAAGTGTGAGTGATGAGCATCGGTTTGCGATCCAGAGCTCGAGGACGAACTCCAAACTTCATTTGACGCTGGTGAGGTGGGAGAGTCGGCGTGGACGGCATTCGTGGGGGCGAAGAACCTCCAGCAGATTGATCCGAGTTGGTGCTCGCATTGGAGCTTCGACGATTAAGAGACATGGCTTGAACGAAGACGTCGGAGGTTTTGGCATCACCAAGATACACATGACCCCATGCTCGTAGCTGCTCAAGTTGAACGCGCTTCTCAGCCTCCCTGGACCTGGCGACGTATCCGGGTCCTGCTACAGACTGTCGTCGTTGTGCCTCTTCGCCCAGACCGGCGAGAAGCATCGATCGAGTTTCCGCTGCAAGAGTCTGCCTTCGAACACTGCTAGCCATAGGTGGTGAGACCGGAGTTGCTGATGGCGGCGGACCTGGCCGGCGAGGGCTTATAGGCGCAGCCGAATAACGTCTACCGTCACTTGCTGAGTGCTCTGCGAGAGGAGAAAGCGGACTCGGCCGGTTTGCTGACTTGGGCGGGCTAAGGTCACCGGAGCCTGGAGCTTGTCGGAGTCTGGAGCCGAGGCGGTCGACCATGGCGCGCTCATGCTGTCTCATTGAGCCATCGTTGGAAGGAAATACCGGAGTGGGCAGGCTTTTGGGTGAACGATCGGATGGGCTGTAATACGAGCTAGGAGCAGTAGGTCTGCTTGAAGTCGAGGAACGAGGGAATCCTCCTTGGTTATATGAAGGTGTCCATAGTGGGTGAAGGCTTGCCCGAGGGTGGCTCTCGATTGGGGTAGCCATGGCGATGTATGATAGTGATAGAGGTGAATGCCTTGTAGGATATATCAAGTGGTGACTGAAGAAGGAAGTGTTCAAGTCAGGGTTTCGAGTAACAATGAATGGGCCCAAAGATCGGGATGTGCAACCAGATGATGGGATGGCGGTGATGAGAGTCAAGAGTATGCAGCCCTGTAGGGATTTGATCAAGGGAGAAGAGCTTCTCTTATGTCTGTGGTGGATGGAGGGACGAAGAGGGTTAATTAATATCTTTGCGGAAGACCTTGTGAGCCACCTCAGTCTGTAAGTCTTGAACTTCTCGCCCACCAGTTTCTTTAGGAGCCAGAAAAGAAAAAGGGCACTTGCAGCAACTGCCGGGATCAGAAAATGAAAGGACTGGTAGGTACGGTAGGTCTCTGTCTCTCTCAAAGAAGACAAGAAAGACAGGCAAGGTGCAAAGAAGAACAGACTGACAGACTGTCACTGACAGAGAAAGGGTGTGCAAAGAAGGCGGCTGCAATCTTTGCTTTGGGCCCGGCAAGCCTAGGTGGGAGTGTAATGAGGAATGCGGTCGTAAAGCATGGAGTGACAATGAGCGGTTGCGGCCAACAGCCATGCCCATGTCACTCATTGCATATGAGAACAAAGGAGATGAGCTAGCAGGCGTGTGGGTTGGGTTGTCGGAAGCAAACCCATGGGACATGGCAGGCTTGAAGTTGAACGTCTGCAGATGGACACAGAGGAGAACAAAGGAATGTGGCTTGTCTGGGCCTTGATTCGTCATGTTTCTGGCGATACTATTGGCCCACTATGCATCTTCCTTCCCTGCCACCTTGAGGCCTGGGGGTGTACTGCGTAGGTTGTTGGCTTCGACGCATAGAAGCAGTTCCTATTGCTCTGCCCGCCTCTCATTCTCTCTTGGTAGACAGCCAGATCCAGGACTTTCGGTCCGGGGGTTGATACTTGGTGGCAGCCAGAGCAGCAGCAAGAAGACTGCAACCAACCAACACTTGAAAGCTGGAGGGGGGTGCGATGACTGGGTTGAGACTTGCACTTGCGTTTCCACTTCCACTCGCACTCGCACCAGTCGAACTTGGCGTAGCTGCATCTGTCCATGTAGCTGTAAATGCTGTAAATAAGTTTCAAGACTACCGACACGGATGTGTAAGTTGTGAGGCTACAGTCCTGTCTTCAGACCAAAGGGTACCCATCTTTTCCATGTAGAGCTGGGCTTGGGATGAATGCCGCAGTGAGGCCGGGGGCGAAACTGCAAAAGTGTGGAGTTGGAACATCAACGGCGTCGATATGTCTTGGAAGTTTGGCACAGCGGGAGATGGTTGCGGCCGTGATGGCGAAAAGTGGGAAACGGTGGAACAAGACGATGACAGCCAGCAATTGGGATCTCAGATCTCGATTTGTGATGGGTTAGAAAGACTGTAAAGGTGGAGGGGGGAGGCGAAGAATGGAGCTGACAAACGGATGAAGAGGTGTCAGTCTGGCAAAGACAAGAGATTCGGGTGTTTGGTTGGTTGATTTGCGCGGATGGATGGGATGGATGGATGGATGCGTGGAATGCGTCGTGTGCGTGGGAGACATGGAGGGATGAGACAACAACAGGATGATCAGCAACAACAACAACAACAAAAACGACAACGACGATAGGAATCATGAAAGGAAAGCTAAGAAAGATGCCTCGGAGGAAGCTCCTGGAATGCCCATGTTTGTGACGTGTCTGCCTTCGGTTGAGCTGTGCCTTTCCAAAGCTTGCCCCGTCCCCCCGAACTTTCCTTTGACAGCGGAAGGCACGGAGACGACAGGGGGATTTCTGCGTCAGGTATGCCGTAAGCCCCTTCCTTCCTCTCCGTGCCTCCGAAGCCATCGGACCAGGACCCACACGGTGCTACGGAAGGAGCTGTTCATTGGCTCTGCCCGTCTCCTCGCAGTTCTTACATAATCATTCAGGCGATACAGGTACGTATCTCGTCTGGGACACTTGAGGTAGACAATGGAAGGAGCTTGGACCACCTACACCAAGCTCCCGCTGCTCCTTCTGGCCAGAGTTCGTCTCGTCTTTTTTCCCAGTGGTGGAGAGAACAGAGAAAGAACGTCGAGGAAAGGTTGACGTTGCAATTACCGGTAAAAACCACATCGCCAAAAGAGCAACAACGAACAGCTTGTTCTTTTCGCTGAACCGGGCAAAAGCAATGCTCGCTGTCGTCAAAACCATTCCCTTCTCTTTGGACATGCATTGAACATTTCCCACTAAAGAAACCAAACTCTCTTTCGAACCATCGCAAACATGTCCGACGCTACGGCCGCGAGCTACAAGAAGCTCAAGGAAGACTTTGTCTCCAATCTCTCTGGTGGCTCCGCCTCCGAAGTCAACTACGTGACTGCAGTTGCTCCCGTGCGTAACTATCTTCTTTGAACAGAAACTCTGACCTGCCCTCCTGATCTCCTGATCCCCCTGTTGCTGCTGCTGCTGCCGCCCCCCTTCACGTCCCAGGCGCCCCCGCGCAGCGCATGCATCGAGACAAAGCAAAGTGCTGACATTCGCATTCCTTTCCAGGTCGCCGTCCTGCTGTGGTCTGTACTCCAATCACGCCAATCCTTCTTCAAACCCTACACGCTATTGGGAGCTGCCGCCGATTTCCTCCTCAACGTCACCGCCATCCTCCTCTCCACGACTCTCTACGCCTCCTCCCCCTTGCTACTTTGCGCCCTCCTCCTCGGTCCCGCCGTATTCATCTACACTCTGCCTCCCAACTTCGGCGCCAGTCGCAAGAAGCCCGCCATACCACCCAATGCGAAGCCCAAGGCCGGCTCCGGCGCGGGGCCTCTCTCCGCACTGCCCGTGAAGCCTTTCCTGACACACTACCGGGGTAGCATGCTGGTCATCACTTGCATCGCCATCCTCGCCGTCGACTTCCGCCTCTTTCCGCGCCGCTTCGCCAAGGTCGAGACATGGGGAACATCACTGATGGACATGGGCGTTGGGTCCTTCGTCTTCAGCGCCGGTGTTGTCGCTGCTCGGCCCGTCTTGAAAGAGCGCGCCGAAGGTCGATCGATACCCCTGACGACACGTCTGCTGCAGTCGATGCGCCACTCCTTACCGCTACTCGTCCTGGGCGTCATCCGCTTGCTCAGCGTCAAGGGTCTCGACTACGCCGAACATGTCACCGAGTATGGCGTTCACTGGAACTTCTTCTTCACCCTGGGTTTCCTGCCGCCGTTTGTTGCCCTCTTCCAGTCCGCGCTCAAGGTTGTGCCTAGTTACGCCGCTCTGGCAATCATCCTGAGTGTGCTGTATCAGGTGGCTCTGGAGAGCACCGACCTCAAGGCTTACATCCTGACCGCACCGAGAACCGACCTATTCTCAAAGAACCGAGAGGGTATCTTCAGCTTCTTCGGCTACCTGGCTATCTTCCTTGCGGGACAAGATACGGGAATGTACGTCTTGCCTCGGAGTCTCAACACCAAAAGCGATTCCACCCCCGCTACTCAGCGCAAGACTCTTCTCATGATGATGGCCATTTGGTCTGCTGTGTGGACAGGGCTTTACTTTTTGACCACCAGCAACAGCTACGGCGACGGTCTGAACGTTTCACGTCGCCTCGCGAACCTGCCCTATGTCCTATGGACAGCGGCGTTCAACTCGACACAACTTCTAGCCTATGCCCTAGTGGACACTTTCTGCTTCCCGTCCTTCTACAATGCGACTGAGGCGAAGACCGAGAAGGAGGCGTACCATACAGCGACCAGTAGGGTATTCCGCGCCTACAATCGCAACGGCCTATTCTTGTTCCTCATCGCAAACGTCTTGACGGGACTGGTCAACATGACGGTGCCGACACTGAATGTTGGACCCATGGCAACGATGGGCATCTTGGTTGCGTACAGTGGAGCAATCACGGCTATTGCTCTCGGACTGGACGAATTCAATATCTCCATCAAACTGTAGATGATGTCGAAATAAAATTTTGAGTTACACGACTACAAACATCTCACCCACCATGTGATACTGGCTCAGAAAGCCGGCTAGACGATGTCTCATCGAGGCACTACATCATCGCCTGTTCGGATCCGGCAGGTTGTTCGAGGGTGGCCAAGCCGCGAGGCATCCGATAAACTTCCATGGAGATAGGCGGTCGCTGCTGACAAGAGACTTAGAAGTCCGACAAACCCGGAGGATACGGGCTATGAAGACGGAGCCACCGGAAAACCGCAGACAGTCAGCTGAGTGATTACAGTCTGACATCAAAGAATTTCCCAAATGGACCTCTCCCCCGAGGCTGTTGGATTGGACAAATCATGCTGCATTCCGGTGGTACGACAGCAAAAATCTCACTGCTAGCAAGAAAAGAGAAAGCCATCACCGCGGCGTGGACAAAGCTTCAAAGTTCTCGCAGCTTGGCAGCTGCAGTCTGGACAAAGCTTTTTTTTTTTTCTTTCTGCAAGACCCTCGGTTGGGCGTGACTTTGGTATTGCTCTCGAATGAGTTGACCAGGCATGCGGATCCGTTGCATTGACGGGTTTGTCCCTCGATCCACACCGCCGGGGTTTTCTTTGGAAATCTTCTAGAATACTCGGTGAGCTCAGACTGAAAGCACTGGGACGAGAACAAGGCTGGCTATGGGCAAGGCGAGGCGAGAGGCAAACAGGAAAATTCCAACAACAACAACAAAATGGTTACCAAAAACTTGGTCCAGGTCACCGGCTGGTTGGTTCGAGATCGTCGGGAACCCCGTTTGGGCGCAATTCCGCACACCGACCAACACTACTTTCGCATAGTCGAACGCGTGGACTTTTCTCTCTCCTTCTCTCTCGGATGTGGGTTACTTCCCGTTTCCCCCTTCTGCCGAGTGATTACCTACGGACCCTACGGATACGTACGCTGGTGCGGCCCTGCGGAACACACATTTGGGTCGGCACACGAAAGATCCCTGGGCAGGAATCCGATGTCCGGATACGGGTGGTTCGTCAACGTGTTTGCTCGAACCAGCCGGGGTCGTCCCTGTTGGCCT